GGATGTTGAAAAACTGGAGCGTGTCCAGAGAAGGGTGACTAAAATGGTAAAGGATCTGGAAACCATGCCCTACGAGGAATGACTGAGGGAAATGGGTATGTTTAGCCTCGAGAAGAGACGGTTAAGATGGGATATGATAGCCCTGTTTAAATATTTGAACAGGGATATGTAGGCCTGTTTACATATTTGAAAGTATGTCATATTAAGGAAGGAGCTATCTTGTTTTCTGCTGCTTCAGAAAATAGGACTCGGAACAATGGATGCAAGCTGCAGGAAAAGAGATTCCACCTCAACACTAAGAGGAACTTCCTGACAGTAAGGAAGCTGTTCGACAATGGATCACACTCCCTCGGAGTGTGGTGGAGTCTCCTTCCTTGGAGATCTTTAAGCAGAGGATGGATAGTCATCTGTCAGGGATGCTTTGGTTTTGAGTTCCTGCATGGCAGGGGGTTGGACTGGATAGCCCTTGTGGTCTCTTCCAACTCTATGATTCTATGATTCTAAGATAACACTTCCTTCTGTTCATGAGGTGCCTTGGTGGTGCACAGAATAAGGCAGGGGTAGGCAACCTAAGGCCCGGGGGCTGGATGCAGCCCCCTAAGGCCTTTGAACCGGCCCCAGGTCGGTCCTGCCGCCGCCGCTGCCGCCGCCATCACCCACCATGATGATATTGATTATTGCTGTTATTACTTGGGGTTTTCTTGGCAAAATCTCCACAGGGGTTTTGCCATGGCTTTTCTGGGGCTGAGAGAGTGTGCATGCGTATTTTTAATACCTTATTTTCCTGCATATAAGACTACTTTTTTATCTGCAAAATCTGTGGCTAAAATGGGGGGGGGTCGTCTTATACGCCGGATATAAGGATAATGAGGATAGAGGTGCTAAAACTCTATATTTTGACTGGAAAAATGGGGGGTCGTCTTATACATGGGTCGTCTATATATGCCGGAAAATACAGTATATATTTTTTAGTTTTTATTTTACAAATATTTTTATTTATATTTATTTATTTATTTATTTTTGGTGCTTCGCCCCCCCCCC